ACAGACAGACAGACAGACAGACAGACAGACAGACAGACAGACAGACAGACAGACAAGCAGACAGTCATGCGGGAGGATAGATCGGCAGTTAGGATCTTTTATACTAACTTATAAAACCTTCTTGCCGGTCGGCAGACAAAGATGCCAGCCAAGCATAACAGGTCAGAATAAGTTCCCATCATAAACTGACTTGTGCGATGCAACTACGGGGCGGGCTGGCGGAGGAGAAGTTTAATGCAAAAGTTGATCTTCAAAATGTAGCGAGCTCAACAGCGAGGGCTACACATGATACATTTATAACGTTGGTGTGGTAAAGGAGTGAGACGAAAGTGGGGCGTATGACAAGTATGAGACTAAAAAAAAGAGAGAGAGGGAGAGAGAGAGACAGAGAGAGAGAGACAGAGAGAGAGAGAGACAGAGAGACAGAGAGAGAGAGAGAGGAGAGAGAGAACTGAGTGACAGACAGACAGACAGACAGACAGACAGACAGACAGACAGACAGACAGACAGACAGACAGAGAAAGAAACGGAGGCAGAGAAAGAAACGGAGGCAGAGATAGAGACAGAGAGACAGAAAATAAAGACCTAGACAGAGCAAAACAAATTTATTTATTGCCGTAGAGGGCAGAGTATGATAACATGAAATCAAATTATGGCTGAACATATTTCGTTTTCGAAAAGTAACATGATAGTAGTAAGCTTATTATTCCAAACTGATGAGGCAGAAGAAAATACGTGTAGCACCAGAGAGTTTACAGTAATACTATAAACCCTCTCTGTAGCACAGAACGCTGTAGATCAAGTGGATGTAGCGGCATCAAGGCATGCGGATGTGCCCCCTGAAGGAAGCCAAATGCCTCCTTTAATTTTTGTCTGCTGGGCAGTTTACATTAAACAACACATTCCAGGCTAGGGCGAAGGGAGCACACTTACTTATCTGGGTCTGGGCATGCTACGCACGTACTATATTATTATTGCAACGGGTGCCGCCAGAGAGAGAGAGAGAGAGAGAGAGAGAGAGAGAGAGAGAGAGAGATAGAGAGAGAGAGAGAGGGG